TTTCCCTTTGGGGTTGCTGTAGGTGATCTGGAAGTCTGGTTTTGAGACTTATTTACGTGTTTTCTCTTTTCGACTGGAGGGGGGGGGCTGTTGACACCTTCATGGATTACCTCCTCTGAGCTGGGAGAAGTGGGGCAGGGGCCAGGAGCAGTGGTAGGGATGGTGGCCCAAAAGCCCTTTCCTGTGGGCTGGGAGCAGAGGGAGGGATGGTGGCCGGGAAGCCCCTTCCTCTGGTCCAGGAGCAGTGGGATGGTGGCTCAGAAGCCCCTCCCTCTGGGCCGGGAGCAGTGGGAGTAATGGTGACCCAGAAGCCCCTTCCTCTGGGCCAGGAGCAGTGGGACAGAAGGTGGCCCAAAAGCCCTTTCCTGTGGGCTGGGAGCAGCAGGAGGGATGGTGGCCAGGAAGCCCCTTCCTCTGGGCCAGGAGCAGTGGGACAGAAGGTGGCCCAAAAGCCCTTTCCTGTGGGCTGGGAGCAGCAGGAGGGATGGTAGCTGGGAAGCCCCTTCCTCTGGACCAGGAGCAGTGGGACGGTGGCTCAGAAGCCCCTACCTCTGGGCTGGGAGCAGCCGGACTCAGTACCGTGGTCTGGTGGTCCGGTGTCCTCTGCATCTTTGTAGTGTGGAACCAGGTGGCTGTACAGAGGAGTGGGGGTGGGGGCGGCGGGGGGTCCAGTGGATTGTTGCCGGGGCACGGGCTGGGCTTTTGATAGTTAAACTTTTATTTGTATTAACAACAAACCTAAACAACAATGCATAAATTATAAATGTATAGTGCAAACCCTTTTACAAAGTAGACAACCAAGTGTAGGTAACAAACACATGGAGAGAGTTCAATTTTGAGCAATATTGCCAGAAGTAATGGATATGGATTAGAGTAGAAATGGAGATCTTAAGCAAAATAAGGAATTAGAGATGCAAGAGCATTTAGCCTTTTAAAATTCCAAGCTAAATATTGCCCTGGAGATAATGAGACTTGAAAAACCATCTGGTTCTGCTGGAGTGTTAGAGCAACTTAATGAACAAAATATGGAGTGCTTATGTGGCATGGGTGTGTATTTTATGCTAAAGATAAAAACTTGGGCTATTTATGAATGAGGAACAAATATTTATTAAATTCATTAAATCAACTATTTTATCATGAACAGTTTGTTTTTATTCTGTTACAGCTATTGTTAACTTTGGAATTTATCTACTGGCTTTCCAGAGTATGAACTATAGTCTTTGAAGAGGCTCAGGCTCATTCAGATTTTAAGAATTCTCTATCAGGAACCATTTCTTAGGCTAACAGTTGATCATCTTAATAGTTGAACTATGCTTCAGTCTTTAATTACTGTATTATTGACAGCTGTTCCTACGGGATGGTCTATAAAGTATTGCTGTTATCCCATTTTCTTTGTGAGGAAACAGGCACCAAGAATCTAACTGACTTGTTCATGGTCACAGTCATTTAGTGGCAGAGCTGTGACTTAGATTAAAGCTGGCTGGCTTCAGAGTATTTAATTAGGGTTGTGAAATTTCTTATATTTCTTAACAACTATAATTCATTTAAAGCCTGTGTTCATGGTGTATAGTTGTTAGGTGTTATTAATATTGTTTTTGTTATCATCGTTGTAGAGAGAACTTCTTGTAGTGCATGGAAATATCCTTCCTTACAGGGTAAGAAGTCCCATTGAAGTCTTTAGATGGACAGATTGCTGTAAGGCTATGTGGATTTTAAAATATACATGTAAAAACATTAATTTGGGGGCTTTTGAGGTAATGAAACTCTAAATATTCATAAAACCAATTTCATACACATTTGAGTAGTTAAGGTATGTTTTCTGTTGAGAATGTGAAGAGTGATTTTAACTGTTCCAATTCCTGTTGTAACAGAGTTTAAGCAGAATGGCGGTAAGCCCTATCTTTCTGTGATTACGGGCAGAGGGAATCATAGCCAGGGAGGAGTTGCTCGCATCAAACCGGCTGTCATTAAATACCTCACAAGCCATAGTTTCAGGTGAGTATAAATTTCTAGTATCAACAGAGACAACTGCCTGTATACGGCTAAGTAAACACTAATAGTATGTTCAGAACTATTTGTTAAAGTAGTTAACTAAATTTAACCACCTGATTTCAGCCATAAATT